AAAAAAAAAAAAAAAAAAAAAAAAAAAAAAAAAATGCAACCACGATTCGCATCAGTAGAAACTGAAAGTAAAGGCATGAGAGGCATGAGACCAATGCAGAATTGCACATTTTCGCTCATTTCACATTTGGAATCATTTTTTTAAGATTTTGCTATTGAATGGGCTTTGGCTCTAAACTCAAAAATACAAAGAGTGAAATTGAAAAATTGAGTTCTTAACAAATTATTTCCGATTGAAGTAGTAAAAAAAGTCAAGCTTTGGCCAAATATACTTACCACTCAAAAGCTGCAGCACTGAAAAGCCTTAACTGCATTTTAAGATTTCTGATTTATCTAACAACCCATTTTCCACGCGCATGTCAGAAAGATATTTCATTGCGATTTTTATGGCAGCAAATCACTCTCTATCCAGTACATAATAACTTTGTTATGATATCATTATTTACTTGAGTAAACTATAAAACAGAAAAACTAGTCTAATATCCCTTATAGTTTCAAAGGGATATGGCTTGGCGTGCAATCTACTTCCAGGTTTTTCTTTCCTGAATTTGAATCCAAGCTATACCATGATAGTTCCAAACTAACTTTCATCAACCTACAAATGCTCTAGAGACCACTCAGAAACCTTTTCAACAACGTAGCAACTCACGCTCGACCCAACCCTATCCTACTTCAATCACCGCTAAACAACACCAGGGTGAATACTAAAGCAACAAAGGTGTAACAAAACTATAAAAGTAAAAAACTTAGACAGCCTTAATTCCAACAAAAAAAAGAAAACAAACTTGCTTGTTCGGAAAAGCTGAAAGAAATTACTGCGTAAAACCTCCAAGGGTTTACAAATACTTAAAGAGGATAAATAATGAACAATCAGTTCGGACCAAAATAATGTCTAGAATAAAAATTGGACAATAAAAGAAATGTTTACAAGGCAAGATTGAGGAATTCTGGCTAATACACAGTAAAAAATACACAAAAGTTATTTATCGAAGCAGTCGGTTAAATAGTGAGTGGGATTCGAACAACTAATTAAATGACAAAAAAAAGTGAAACTGGGTGGAAGAGTTCCCCCACATTACACTATTAAAGACACATATTTTCACACAGCAGATGCACAATTTCATATATCTACTACAGGGTTAGCTCAGAACAGTCAAAACGTTCCAAAATAATTTCGTGCTGTGACAGACACTCCATACTGTGTAGACGTAGTTGTACCCAAAACCAAAAAACTGTAAAAGATAAAGGAAAAGTCGGAAATCATCAGTTGAAGTAAGGCCACAAAAAACGAATAATTTCTTAGAAGAATGGAAAAAATTTGGAATCAAGATCTGGCCGTCAAAATCGTGTCGGTGTTAGAATCCTAATTAACAGTACGTAAATCCTCTCAAGTACCAAAAGGAAAACGAAACGGGAGACTAAAGGGTTCAAAGATTTAGCGGTACTGGTGACCACTTTCTGTCTAAAGGCATCGGGAGTTCCCGCAGTTAAAAAACTGGCAGACAAATCTTTTTCGATAGACTTAACAAAACAAAAAAGCCTTAAGCCTTGAAAGAGGAGCTGAGGAAAGATGAATTAAGTGAATTCGAAACGAGAGACAAACTGGAATTAACGCTAACTGGTTTGACCAAGTAAATACTCAGTCACAATTTAATAAAAAGATACAGGTACTGCTGACAAAATGCACACTACAGAGAGCGCTGAATAAAAAACGCCGAGATCATTTCAAAATAAAAAAAAAGTAGAGAGACAAAAACAAAAATAAAAGACAAAAAAGAAATATATCACAAACAGGACAGCTTCCTTATTCAGCTTCCTTATTGAGATTTCGCGTTTGCAGTACCGCGGAATTTTCCAAACTTCTGCTTTGAAGCTCCCTATTAAGTTGTTCAGACCCCGCTTTTTCTGCCAGGCGATCGATTTTTTTATGCAACAGTTTCACCCATGTGATAATACTATCAATTTCATTAGAGCTGCAGAAAAATAAAGCATTACTGTAAACAAGCATTTATAAGAGCCAAAAATATATAATCAGAAGCAGAAAACAAAGCTCAAAATGTTTAAGCCATTTGAAAACCGTAGCTAGTAATCAAATTTAAAGATTTTTTGAAGAATTAGAAAAGAAGGTCAATTAATATCACATATAAGGCATTAAAGCACTAACTGTATCTAAATACTGATAATTTGCCCCGCTAGTTTCAAAGCAAAAATGCAACCAACAAACAATCTTCTTCTTGCAACAAGAAAAAGGTAAAGGTGACGTACTTAATTTGAAATTGAAAAACCTACCTTAACGAAATGAGATTAACATCGAGGTTTTTGAGGATTGTTAAATCCTACTATATGAAACACAAAAATCGAAAAAAGTTTAAACAAAGCACAAAGAATTTCCAATTAACCAAAACAGCGTTCTGCTAAAAATAAAAAACTGCATAAAAACTTGTGTATAAAAACTTTCGTACCTTTTTGACAACATAAACTTCTTAGCATTAATTGAAGAATGAAACGACCTTGTCACACCAAACCTCCGTCGTCTCTCGGCAGCAACCTGATTTGCCAACTGAAATTTACTTGTTATCTAGTAAGTCTGTAAAACAGAAAAAACTCATCATCAAAAATAGTACCAAGAAATAGCATTAAAACTAAGCAATGACAATGATACACGAAACCTGGAAATCAAAAACCAAACAAAAATAGTTTCTAGAAAAAAAATCTCAGCCTGTTTTGTCTGAAAAAGACGCGATCAATTTTCTAAGTGCGTTAAAGAGAACGAAAGCAAAACATTATAAAGGTTCAGAGAGCGTAATTGTTATATTGTGGAATTAGGACTGTCCTTAAGTGCAAAATCACAGCGTAACTTCCCTAACAACAAAAATTTACAGACCACTGTGGCAATATAAGTACAGTTTGGACATAATTAGAAAAATACGCAAAAGTCTGTTTCGTTTTCAACATTTTTACCGCTTACTAGCTGAAAAATTTTACTCCACAAAGCAAACACAAATAAGTAAGTTTAGGTACGACGCAAGAATTGTCTGATGAGATTGGAAAGAATGTTGAAGAAGATTAAAAACAAGAAAAAACCATTCATTTAAAAAAAATAACAGAAATTTTCTAAAAGTTTCCTTGAAGAAAACACATAGAACCTATGTATACTTGGAAAAAATACAGATATAACAAATGATGAAACCTTTGCTAGCATTAGTTCGAGCTGTAGCTTCTAAAATAAAAGAACTGCTCACATCATGTGAGTAGACTCCTAAAATATGCAAAAAAGA